CACCCCCCCCCCCCCCTCCATAAAAGTCCATTTTTTCTGGAGAATTTTCAAAGAAATTATGAAACAGTTGCACTAATTCTCATACACAAGAATTTAAATTCTCCTGTCATACATTACATCATCCAGCTCTTATTAAGCTGATGCCAGAAGTTAGCTTGTCTATGTGACTGCTCAACTTGAAAAAAAAACTCATTCCCACCATCGTTTCATTTGAGCGTTTGGCTGGCAAAAATGTTTCTCATACATTGAGATCACTAATGAAAATGCTATTATTTTTTTATTCGGACCAGGCTTCTCTATTTATTGGTCGTCTTCATCCAAGCATCCAACACGAGCAGCTTCATTCCTCCTTATCCCATTTGCTCTCAGTCGTCAAGTTGGCAAAACGAGAAGAAAAGCGTCGTCGAAAAGGCAGACATCGCAGCAGACATCACTGCCGTGACCGATCTCCAGAGCAGCACGAATCGCGAACCAAAGACCCCCTTTGGCCTCTCGTTCGTGTTGTGAAACACCCAATCACCGGAGAATCTCGGGGTTACGCATTCGCTTGGTTCAAATCCTCAAGAGACGCGAGTCGTGTGCTAGACTCGTGGAGATATTCCTCCAACTTGTTCAAGCCATCAGGCTGTAATGACGGTGTGAGAGTTGATCTGCAATCGATTTTCGGGGATATGCCTGGATTTGAGCAGGTTGGTTACTTTTTTTTTGGTAACGTGCGTTAGGTGATGAGAAAGGAGATAGAGAATGCGTACTTTATTTAATCCCTGGAACCCAGGATGATAAGTGTTCGCTAGCACTCAACCTTGGAGTTAGTTTAGAATAATCTTGATTGTCTGGCTGATAAACTGCGACATAGTTATAGTTTTGTAGCGATTTACTTCATCCACATTTATTGTTTTCCCATTACATTTGACGAGAATATAGGAAATCTGCTCTAAAGTGAAGTTGTTGGAGCTAAAGGTGCGAGTCTAACCTTCAGCACCCAGGAGCTTCCAAACCTTATTCACTTGATTTGGGAGATATTATGGACCAGCTCTGTGTCCTTTCGTTGAACAAACTTTGTTGGCGAGTCTCGATCTCATGATTTCAAACTTTTCTGAGGTTAATCAATCTCTCCCTTTCTTGCTTTCTCTCTCTCTCTCTCTCTCTCTCTTGAGCCTAGCTAAAATTGATTATCATGTCACTCCAGAATATCTTAGAATTGCTATTATTGAGGAATGACTTGCAGAATGGCAAGATTAGCCCAAAAACGAAATGTCTTAACTTCATTGGCCTCTCTCTGCGTTATGTTATTTCTTAAATTTCGGTAATTTCATTTGCAGAGGTCTTGTGGGAGGCAATCCAATAGGCGTGTTAGGGTTGGAGGGGTCTTGGAGGTAACATCTTTGAAATTGGTGTTACGATTTGCGTTTTTTTTATAAATAAGGATCTTAGTTAAGAGTAATGTTGTCTGACTAGCAAACTTGTATTCGCTCGTGTTTGTTACCGGTCGGTCATTCTTGTCTTTGATTTGTGAAGGAGCTTAGATAATTTGTTTGACTCCATTAGATCGCCTATTGTTTCAAGGGCATTCTCCTCCCTCTAAGTTGGACGAGGCTTTTATTCGTTCGGTAAGACTATATTTTAAATCATTGTTGTTTGTTTTTTTTTAATTACAACCGCCTACTTACTAAGTTCAATGAAGAACCAGACAGACGTTAACCCCGCCCCCCCCCCTCCCCCACCTCATCTCTTTAATTCTGTCTGACTTTGTGTCACGTTTTTTTATTTTCTTTTTGCGCGGGAGGTTGTCTGGATGGCGAGTTGCATCGTGTCTGTAACTAGACTACAAGTTGTACTTCTTGTCAAACAAATTCCGATCAAATTAGTCGGCTGTGGTCATTATTTAAAAAGACCACTCTTCACAGCTTTGCTCTTGCTGTTATTTTCAAATGAAATTTCCCGTGGAAGTTGTTCACTAATGGTGAACTTTATGGCAAACCAAGAGATTTTACAGGTCATAAGATGAATGAGCTCGAAATTAATCAACTTATGCTGGTTAATTTAATTTTAATTTAATTAATTCTTCTACTTGTCGCATAATTTTCTACCTAACATTATTGATTGTCTCTATATCGTATCCTAATGTTTAAAAGGTATAAGTGTGCTGACTACGTGATATGTGCGTCCGACACCTTTGGGAGATAACAGGGTCGCTCATCTCGCTTCAAATCACAAATCACACCATCTTTACCAATTTTTTTCACCATTAGTAATGAATTCCAAGGTCTCTGTATCAGGCTTCACTACTTCATTTGCATCCTTCCTCATCCTCATATTCTGCTACTTCTTCATTTCCTGTTTTTAGCAAAAGGTTCCGTTTACCATTGGGTTTTGCAATTGGAGAGAGACCAGACTTAGTCATTTCATTGGTGCTTGCAACAACATACATGGAGTTGTTTTGCACCAAACGTGGAGGCGAGGAGTGGCAAATGGTCTCGTGTGCAAAGTCAAAAGTCATGGGCTCTATGGTCATTGGTGCACACCCAGAGAACAAGATTGCCAACTACACTGATTGTGATTGGCTAATAAAGTGGAGTGGGGGGGGGGAGGGACAAAAGTGAAGGGGTAAACGTGAAAGCTCCCATTAAGGGCGCCGCAGCGTTGCCGTCAACCTGATCCAAGACAGGAGCTAGAAATGGGACATTCTTAATGGATTTGCAATCAAGTAATCAATTACTTAATTAATCAACTGATTATTTATTTGACTTAGTTGAAAGTGGTCTCCACAACCTACTCTTGCACATCCAGATAACGGCTCAACTACTCGAGCTGTTACAAACTGATAGAACTCGAGTTCAAAATTTTGGTGCCTTTATGTTGATTTTGCTCTCTCCAATCATTTACCTTTTCTCTTCACTCTCCAAATGAGTGCCAGTTAGCTTCATTCCGATTGAAGTTGGTTTACTGCAAACACCAGTGCTATTTGAAAGAGTATCATTTCACAGCCTAACACAAATTGAAGTAAAAATGGGATGTTTCAAGATTGTGAGTGTTGAGGAGATTCACGTGTGGTGATAGTTTATTGAAGAGGTTGAATGATCC